TTTAGATGGTTTTCCTTTTTCATCTGTATGTTCAATATCATCTCCACCTTCTTTTTCACTTTTAACTTGATGTTTAAAAAACCATTTACTTAAATGTTTATGTCGTTCTTGATATTGTTTTTCCGCTTCATCAAAATCAAGTGTATTATAAACATTTGTTGGTGAAAAACCATACCAATCTTCAACTGGATAAGCTTCAAAACCATCTTTACCTTGTATAAATACATAATAGGACGAATTTGCTGTCACACCACCTTTTTTTAATCCACGATAATGTTTTAATTTTTTTTCTGTTGATGAACGATCAGTTAATACCCAAGGAAGATCTTCAATATTTGTTCCTTTCGTTGCATAACGTTTTCGTTTCAATGCTTCTTTTTGTTCACGACCATATTCACTTCCTGCACCAGTTTTAGGTAAAACAGCACCAAGTGAAGTTGTAATTGTTGATGCTGAAGCAGAATTTGGATCAGCAGCCGTTGCTGGACGATAAGTATATGGATTTATTTCACGTCTCATTTCAACAGCTTTCCAATCTTTAACATCAATAGATAAACCACTTGCAAATTCCATAATACCATATTGAGATCGTGTTCTATATTTGCAAAAAAATATAGACACAATTATATAGTATAGAAATTTACTTGGGAACTTTAACAGCAAATTCTTTAGTACCAGGTGCTGCAGCAGGTTGTGCTGCTGCTGTTGCTGCTGGTGTTGATGTTGCCATAGGTGGTGTTGATATTGTAGCTACAGTTGGTCGTAACATGGATGTAGTTGATTGTGTTCCAACCATTGGCATACGTGTTGCTGTTTGTGGTGTAATAAGACGAGGTGAAATATTTGCATTTGCTGTTAGTATTTGTTGTTGTGGTGAAGTAGCAAATCGTTGTGATTGTTGTAAAGATGCGTAAACAGGTGCTGATGCAACAAGACGTGGTTGTGATTGAGGTTGATAAAGTATAGACGTTTGTTGAGGCATTGTTGATGGCCGTACAGATGAAATTGGATAAATAGATTGTTGTGGTTGTGGTTGTATTTGTTGACCACCGGTTGTAATAATTGTTGGACGTACATTCAAATGAGTTATATTTGATGGTTGAACAATATATACCGGTCGATTACTATTTGGCTGCATTTTTCGTCAAAAAAATCTAATCGTATACAAATCTTGTTATTCAAGTCAATGAGAGGAAATAACTAAACATTGACGCTTTATTCAGAAAAATTTCTTCATGAGTCATTTAATTTTTACCAGTTTCTGATTGGCTACTTCATATAAATATACTATCCATTAGAAATACAACTTATTCTATTGATTATGATTAGATATTTGAATATTTGATTTATCCAAGAAGTATTTAAAATGAAAAACTTTATTTTACTTATCCAATCATGGTGGGACAAGAAAATATATTTTGTTAAATGAAGAGACCAATAGCATACATGAATAGTAGTCGTTTTTGTATGACATCTATATTTGACAAGCGTTATATAAATGGTATGTATAACAAACCAATCGTTTTTTTTCTTTATTTGATACGTTGTTGTTGAAAGAATAACAGAATGAAAATGAAAATTATCTATATATATAAATATAATGACACGTACAAATACAAATTCTGAATATTCATCAACTCGTCGATCATCTTCATCATTATCAACTATTATTCCATCAACATCGAATGAATCGAAAGATGTAATTACTCAAAATGAATTAACAATTCAAAAACTTTTACTTGAATTACAAGATGATTTAAAGCAAACTAAAGATCACTATAATATAAGTCGTGATGCATGGCTTTCTATACAACAACAAATAACTTCAACATCACCGAATGAAAATACAAATTTACAATCGTCAAAAACAAATTTAACACAAGCACTTACGAATGTACAAAATGAAATGAATATATATCGAACAGCTTTAGAAAAAATAGCACAAGTTCGACAATTACAAATTGAAATTGCGAATGTTTCAAAAAATCATAATGATACGAATCGAAGTCATACAACACGACGAGGTTTAGCTGATCTTCTTTCACATATGGCTTATGCATTAAAAATTTGGTATGGAAATGAACATAATAGTTCAAGTAAAGTGAGTTTTTATATATTATATATTTTAGATACAAATAAAACGAATGAATTATATTTATCAAATACAAAAATCTTTACTTTTATTTAGAATAATACTCCATTACCACCACTTTGTGGTGCTATACCAGCTGCATCGAATCATGTATGTCATATTAATGATCGTATCGCAGGTTTTGTTGAAAGTGATGATGGTGATGAAAATTGGATATTAGCTGAAGTTGCTAATATACATGCAACTAAAACCAAATATGATATTGTTGATATTGATGCTGAACCAGGCAAAGGACGTTATTATAATATAAGTAAACGACATATTATACCATTACCACAATGGCGTGCTTGTCCATTAACATGTCCACAAGCATTATTTCCTCCACGTACAATTGTACTAGCACTTTATCCTCAGACATCATGTTTTTATAAAGGTGTTGTTGAAAGTACTCCACGAGTTGGTAAAGATTGTTATAGTATTATATTTGAAGATTCATCTTATAATAGTGGTTATTCACCTGAATTCGATGTTCCACAAATGTTTGTTATTGCTTATAAAGATGTAAAAAAATAATATATATATATATATATATTTTGTCTTGTTTATTTATTTGAATATATTCACAAAAAGGAAACGTAACTAATATAGCTGGAATAAAAAAAACATATTTCTTTTTTCTTTATCTATCGATCTTTTTTGGGTGATTTTGGTAATTGATTAGGATCTTGATTGTTGTTATTTGAATTTTCTCGATTTGGTTTTGGTGATTGATCGCCATCATTCGTATTATCACGTGTTGGTGCATTAGGATCACGTGCTGGTTCTTCAACAGGAGTATCCGGAATACCTAAATAAGCTTTAATAAACTATCTAAAATCTTTTTTTTCCTTTTTACTTGAAAAAGTTCGTGTAAATATTGAGAAAATGCGCTAGAACAAAAAAACGATTTAATTCTTTCGATTAAATAAAAACGAATTTACTTGTGGAATTTGACGAAGACTTATTGCTTTATTCATCTTGAAAAATCTGATAGTATTGAGAATAATGTTATGTATATATATTTATTCGTATGGTCAAATAAAGAAACCAATTAAATTTTTCTTGATGTCGCTATATATATATATAAATAGGTCATTATTATTTCAGATTGTGACATTACTTTAAAAATGTATTCTGTACCGCCTCGTAAACCACGTGCGCTTATGCGTGAACGGTAAGTTTTAATTATTTAATATTCTTACAAAAAAATGTAATTTCGTTTAGAAAAGATGAAGGCATTGGAAATGCTCAATGTCAAAAATGTTTAGAAAAAGGTCACTGGACATATCAATGTACACGTAAAAGAAAATATGTTGAACGACCATCGCGTACACAATTACTTGAAAAACGTATCAAACAAATAAAAAAAAGTAAAGAAGATGAAGAAAAAAATACCAATGAATCAAAAAAGAAGTATGAAATTTCATTTTTCTAGTTCTGTTATTTTAATTTTATCTTTTAGACAATTAATGAGCCAATTACAAACAATTCAATTTAATAAAACTAAAAAAACTACTGATGATGGAAATTCATCGGATTCAAGTAGTTCATCATCATCATCGTCATCATCTTCATCATCGTCAAGCGGCTCTTCTAGTGGCAGTAGTAGTAGCAGCAGTAGTGGTAGTTCAAGCGATGATGATGATGATGAAAAATCTTCATCGGGTACGGATCAAGAATCACCAAAGAAAAAAATCAAGACTTAATTATTTTTTGCTTTATTGTTATCACTCTGTTCTATTATTCGAGTGTATATTCTATTGTAATAAACATGTATTTCTTTTTCTTGTTTATATGTTAATGAAATATGTGATAAAAGATTTTGTTTTGCGTCAAAATTATTATTATTTAAACAGAGAAAGAAAAAAGGCTACATGAAAATTTTTCTACAAAAAAGACGCAGATGGTGAATCATAATAATATAATGTTAAATGGTCAATTTATTGTGTCAGTTTGACTAAATTTTATCTGTCAAGAGATTTTTCTCTCTCTGTCTCTCTCGTTTTTATGGTTGACATTATTTTTTTTCTCTCGTGCACATTAAGATTTCCTTCGTTGTATGTCTATTATTATGCAGCACGGACAAAATCATTTCGACGCAAGCATCGTACTCTCATTCTGTTCTTTACACGTCAATCGACGAGGTAAAGAACGGGAATGAGATGCAAAATAGGCGGTTTCTTTTTCTTCTCCCGAACCCTTGGTTAGTGTAATAAAGGCATAGTATATAACATGTAGTATACATTAACTCTCTCGTCCTCAGTTTTTCTATTCTGTTTTCAAATTATTAGCTACGTACATATTTATTTCATAAAAGAATCAATCTTGAAATAATTCAAAATAAATATATATATATAGAGAGAGAGAGAAGTATAAGTATATTACATTTTATTTCATTTCTTCTTACTTCCTATTGGTATTGCACACGTGTACAAAGGTATATTATGAGTTATCCAACGCTCGCTCAGGTGAGAATTTTTAAGTATGCATTGGAACTTAAGTCGGTAATTTTGCTTAAATCGATATTATTTATTTCAATAGAATATTTAAATGTGTGCAATCATTTTTTTTCTCTCTTCTCGTTCAGATAGTTCCTCGTGTAGCAGCAATGTCTGATCGAGCAGATAAAATGAAAATGGTATCGAAATTACCAACATTATCAGGTAAGGATAGAATTCTTATTTATTCTATAAATATTTTTTTATTCTAGCTGATAAATCTGCACAGAAAATTCAAGCTGCTTTTCGTACGCATCAAGCTCGATTGAAATTAAAAAAACAGGCAGCATGGCAAATACATGAAAAACTTGAATATTCTAGTGAACAAACTGAATCTAAAGTAATCAAAAATATAGATATAATTTTAAAACAAAAAAAAATGTTTCTATTTCGTAGCTTAAAGATATGTTTGAAAAATTACTTAAAGCATCAGATTTACTCTCACCATCCGTTACGAAATTACTTCAAAAAGCTGGATTACCTGTAGGTAATGCATTATTTGACAATCAAATCCATAAATAAATAAATCTATATATAATATTTCATTTTGTTTTTGTATGTAGAAGAACAAGAACTTTTAAGATTGACAAATCCTGATAGTATAACAGTTGAACCGACTTATCAAGGACCTCGTATGAATTATTTTTCAATTAAATCAAAAATCGAGAAATCATTTATTCTATAGGTATCGACGGTCAAATTACAAGACAGACCTTTGTAGATCTCATCGATGCTTTTCGAAAAGGACAAGTAAGTAAAAAAACAAAAGCACATCATTCATTACGAAATAGTCATTGCTCATGACATTCTTCCTTTACATACACTCGTAAATAATATAAATATTTGTTTTTATCATTTAAACTATTATTTCTCTATATAAAATTTCAAGGTATATTGATATATCTTAAATGAATCATTTTTTCATCATTCAGAAGTTGACATTTAAGAAAAATATAATATTTAAAAGTTCTTCTGCTTGCTTCAATTCAATATTTTATCGATCGATCTATTATTTATTTCTATTGAAATAGAATAATAATAATATTATTAAAATGTTTCTATTCATTGTTAGCATAATAATAGTCGTTTTGTCTTTACAAAAGAAAAAATTCAAATCATTCTAAAAATAGAATAAAAAATTTTTTTTTTTTCTAATCGTAGATTTTACATGAAAAATATGTGTGTAAAATTTTACATCAAGCCCGTGCTATACTTAAAAGTTTACCAAATTTTAATCATATTGATTTATCTAATCTTCACCATGTATTTATTATTGGTGATCTTCATGGACAATTAGCTGATTTATTACATATATTTAGTGAAGTAAGCAAAAAAAATAGAATAATAAGAAATATATATAATTTATATTAATTTACCTATAGAATGGATTACCTGCAAATGATAATGCATATATATTCAATGGAGATTTTGTTGATCGTGGAAATAATTCAGTTGAAGTTATTTTATTACTTATGATTGCTTTAATTCTCAATCCAAGTTCAGTGTTTCTTAATCGAGGTAATCATGAAGATATTATGGTTACAGTTCGATATGGTTTTCAAAATGAAGTCAACCAAAAATATGGAGTTAGTTTTGCAAATATTTATTTTATCGTTTAAATATGTACATATATATTTAGAGACGTAAAGCATCATTACTTGATCTATTCAAAGATATATTTAGTTGGTTACCACTTTATTCATTTGTTGATGCTGGAAAATCTCGATTTATTATAATGCATGGCGGAATATCGGATAGAATTAATTTAAAAAAACTTAATTCTATAACAAGAAATCGATGTAAATAAATTTTTTGATATATAGTATATAACTATTTATTTTCTAATTAAGATATTTCGATTGAAGTACCACCTCCATCAAGACAAGGCGGAAAAAAATTAACTGAAGAAGAAGATAATGAATATCGTCAAGTACAAGGTAAAACAGAAATAAATTATTTCAAATATTCTCTTTAATTTAATAAAATTTAGATTTATTTTGGAGTGATCCTGATCCTCACGGTCGTTTAGGTTGTCGTAAAAATGATGCAAGAAAAATGGCCTGTTTTTTTGGTTCAGATATAACAGAACAATTTCTTAAAAGATACAATCTTTCAATGATTATACGTTCACATCAAGTTAAACAAGAAGGTTATGAATATACACATGATGGTAAAGTTTTAACTGTATTCAGTGCATCAAATTATTGTGGTGGATCAAATTGGGGTGCTATTTTACAATGGTTAGAAATAATAAAAACTTAAAAATTAAAAATATATTAATTTTAGGGATTATAACGATGAAGAACCACGCATAATTTCATATAAAATCTTAGCTGTTGAAATGACAAAATTAAGTTTTAATAAAAAGTAAATTAATAGAAACTTAATTTATAATATTAATTTTTTTTGTTATTTTAAAGAGTAACATTATTCGAAGATCCAGCATATCATTCATTAATAGAAAAAATAATGACAAATAAAAGTATTTTACAAAAAGAATTCGAAAGAGCTGATGGAAATAGAACAGGTATTTGATTAATAATAAAAACACGAAAAAATATTTCTTTATTATTATTATATTAGAACATTTACCTTTAACAATTTGGGCAGATATAATGGCGAAAGTACTTCAACTTGATTTACCTTGGCTTACTTTACGTACAAGACTTGTACAAGAAGATTCACAAGGAATTATATATAAAACTATGTTCGATGAATTTATTCTAGATAATTCAAAATTTCAAATGGTATGAAGAATGATAATACATATGATATGAACTTCTTTTTCCTTTTTAGTCTAATACCGGTATTATGGAAGATTTATATATGTGGAAAGATATGTTACTGACATTATTTAATTTAATTGATTATAATCATTCAGGTAAAATTTTATTTCTATTTCTATATATATATAAATGAATATTTCTAAATAGGCTTTATAAGTCGAAATGAATTTGCTGATGTTATTAAACTGATACTCCATGGTGAAAATGGTACTGATGAAGTGAATGAGGCGTATATTGATGAACTTAGTTCAGCTATGGACTTTGATAAAAATGGAAAAATTGATATTAATGAATTTCTTGGTAAGATAAAGGGTGTGAGAGGAATTAATTATTATTTTTTTTGTATATTCTAGAGAGTTTTCGTATTGTTCATGTGAAGACATCAAAGAATTTAGATGATCGAATAAATAAAGTCGAACAACCAAATGGAAATACAACGAAGAAATATGTAGAATCAAGTGGAAAGAAATCGAGGAAATTATAATTTCGATAACATATTCAATGCAACAAAAGTGTTGTACTCACAAATCTTCATTCCTTCTTTTTTTTAAATCTTGTTGTCTTTGTATATGTTTTTCATGTATGAAAAAAACAAACTATTTTTCAAATGATTATTAAATTTAGAACAAATCTATTATATGTACTCTAGAATGATTGAATTTAATAATATTCTATTAAAAGCAAACTTGTTTTTTAAATGTATGTATCAAAATAGATCATGACGGTGATTAAGCAGAGAAGCTAGTACTAAAATAATCTACTCTTTTCGATAGAAGTCATGTGATTGTCTAGAAGACGAAAACTACATAATATATCAATCATATAATATGAAAGATTCAGAATGTGTTCTATTGTTTAAATAGCGATAATTTACAGAATGGGGGTGTGGGGGTGATTATCTTTATTTTCAAACCACACCCACCCTCAAGCTTTATCTGATCTATTCTATCAAGTTGACTTTTTCATAATTATTAGTTCATATCTATTGAGATCAATAATGTCTCTTGTAAAATGAAAAGAAAAAGTTTTAATATTGATGTTTCTGGATTAGATCATGAACCAGACGTTTATAAACATCGACAAGTGAAAAACTCGACAAAGGAAATAGGAAAAGACTAATGTGAAAAACAAACAAAACATCAGGCATACAAATAGAAAAGACTAAAGGAAAAGACGGTTAAAGTTTGTTTTGTTGTAAAAAAACATGAAACAAACTACTAAACAAACAAAAACAATAAATAACGAAATAACGCACTATTACATTATAGTTGGATTAAATAATTTACGAAGACTGTTTTGAATAAGTTGTTCGACTGTTTGTTGATTAATTACAACATTTAATGTTGTTGGTGTTGGTACTGATGTCGGTGTTAATGGAAATGGTAAAGATGACATTGGTTGTTGTTGACAATGACAACATTGTTCACATATTTTAGGTTGTTCTTCTATTGGTAATATTTGTGGTAATCTAAAAGATCTGAGAGGGTTTTTTTGTTTATAATAATTGTTTTTATTTTATTTACTTGGCTTGTATTGTACGATGTGAACGTGATGACGATGCTCTCGGTTGATTTCTTTTAACATGTTTAAGACGTTGTCGTCGATTAGCAAACCATGAACGACATTGTTGTGCTGTTATATTACCTTCTGTTATAAAACGTTTTTTATCTGGTGAACGTGGATATGGATCATCTAAATGAGCGTTATACCTAAAATAAAATTATAACACAAATTTTACATATATATATATTTAACGAACCATTCTTGCATTAATTTAACAGCATGATCAGGTAATTTATGATAACATTGTGAACGTGGTGATGATAGTCGTGGAACAAGTGGCGCTGGTAAACAAATCGGTGGTCCTTCGTTTACATTTGATGCTATATGTATTCGATGCTACAAAACATTAGTTAATATTAGAAAAATATTAAAATTGAAAAGTTTCCGATATATACAGATGGTTCAATATGGCTTATATCGTATCTTGTTTGAATTGGTATATGAGTATTTATATGTGTTGGTTCAATAAGTTCTTGTTTTGTTTGTAATTGTAGTTGATGTTCATGTTGTTGATTTAATCCATTAAAGAAATGTTCAATTTCGGAGTAAACTCCTTCATCTTGTTGTGGTGTCATTAGATTTAATTTATCTTCGGGTGCAACAGCATCATCTTGTTGCGATAACCATGTTGTTAAATAAGGACTATCTGTTACTGCTGGTGGTGTTGGTTGAAATGCTGTCCAATCAAGGCTACTATGATCACTATTTGTATCGTCAGTTAATAATGAATTAGTATCAAAATTAAAACTAAATGCATCCATTTACTAAAAATAAAAAAAACAAAATATTTAACGAATGATGCACAAGAACAACTCTACTTATATATTATATATTTCTGTCTATGTGACCTCTAATAATGATCGTCCATTTTTCGATCATATGTGATAGTATATAGGAAAGAAGTGATTTTACTGACGATGTTTTTTTTCTCTTGTCAAATATAGCTTGTAAACAGGTTACTATTGTGTAGTTATCCTCCTCTTTCATTCTGTATTTATCCAGGCATTGGATGTTTTTGTTTTGATCTGTAAAGTAAATAGATACAAAGTAAAATGGAATATTCACAATACAGAGAAATAAAAGTAAAAGAAACTAATGACATAATCATTTATTAATATAATAATTTGAAAAATAAATTATCTTTTTATATGTATAGAATTGTAAATATTATATTTTCATTTCAAAGATTATCGTTAAAAAAATTGAACTATTTTTAATATTTAATTATTGTACAGATTGTTATGATTCTTACCTATCGATCAGGAAAATGGATAAGCTATTCTAGCATTTTCGAATGAATTTTTTACTTTTTTTGTTTAGGATTATCTTCAATGCAGAATACAAACAATTTAACTCTCGGTTGTCGTCCTCATTTTAAAACTTCAATAGTATCCTGCAGTCCACGTGGACTTGTATTCGTATTTTATTTCTCTTAAATCTATTCATGATTTTTTATCAGGATATTATACATCTGCCACTCCATAGAGATTACAAAAAACAGTAAATAGTTGTGTAGTGCGAGACAAAAACCTGTGAAGCGGGTCCACGCGGACCCCACAACAGTAGCTGAGGGTTAATAAATATTTTATATATAGTAATTAGGTTAATTTAGTGATAATGACGAAACTTTACATAATATTTATCTATCGACGTTTCGAACACTTTGTACACATCTACAGGACACAAGACACGATGACAATAATAATGGTAACTGCTATTTTTAACCACGAGTAAATTTGAGAAATTGAATTAATAGCGAAAAATTGACAAATGTTGATTATTTCAGTAGTAATAACGAAACTTGACATAATATTTATTTTTCGACGTTTCAAGCAATTTGTACTCTTCTACAGGATACAAGATATGTCAATTTTTGCTGTTTATTCAATTTTCTAAATTTACTCGTGATTAAAAATAGCAGTTACCATTAGTATTGTCGTCGTGTCTTGTGTCCTGTAGATGAGTATAAAGTGCCCGAAACGTCTAAAAATAAATATTATGTCAAGTTTCGCTGTTAATTCAATTTCATAGTAATTAGGCATACTTGAATTTTTCATACGTTTGTACGAGTTAATTATGGAAAGTTATTTATTATGATTTCTAGAATTATATATGTCAATGAAACTTAAGCTATTTCCAATATATTCACTTCGAAATCATTCTTAAATCAATTATTATTAGAAGAGCTAGCAAAGTAAAGAAGCATTGCATTGATCTATTTATTCATAGTTTTTTCTTAGACGTCCTTAAGAGATAGTCCCTTGTATTTAGCTTATCTTCTCCAATGGATTGTACATCTCAATCCGATATTAATATGTATGTTTGTATGGTTCGAATTCAAACATCAACTTAATTATAGATCAGATCTATCTATCAAGAATAAAATTAACGCAATTCGTGTTTTTGATGAATATTTTTATTAATAGTAAATAATGAAATACTAAAAACTTTTGGCTGTGTCTGATCATTGCTGAGTAGTAGTTGATATTTTTGAGTCAATTTGAATATTTCTTTTAGCACAATGATCATAGAAACGAAGTCTACAAATTCCAGAAAAATTTATATTTTTCGTTATTGGCTATTAATGAAAATCCGAATTACGTTAATATATTTCACTTTTAATAGAAATAAAACTGTATGAAAGAATACCGTTATCGCGATTAACTAAAATTTAAATTCAATCATGCACATCCTTATTTGTGGAGTAATTCGAAATTTATAATCGTTAATTTTGAATGTAAAAAAACATTTTCTAAGTCATATTTTCGTTATTTTTGTTGTTGTTGTTGCGTGAAAACGAATTTTATTCATCAAATAATTCAAAAATTTAATGGTTTCTTTAACTAAGTGAAGCAAGCCACTTAAATGTTCTAACTTTTTAATACATCAAATGTTTTTTTTCCATTTAAGAATATATAATCGATTATTAGTTTTTCATTTTGTTATACATACAATAAATTGAAGATGTTAAAAATATTATTTTGATTGACACATTATTATTGATTCTTTTTTTCTCGACTTTTGAATCATTCGAAAGAAAATTATTTGTAGATTAACAAAATGAATACGTAAGTAAAAAAAATCGACCTCTAACGAAGATTGGATTTATTCTTGTATAGGAAAAAAAGTAAACTAACAAGTGTCAATCGTCTTCCAAGTATATATATTCCGACTTTAATTAATTCTGAATCGGATTATAAACGTGAAATACGTCGTAAACTCGATCGAATTCAACATGATAATCATGATATTGTTCGTCGGCGTCTTATACATGATCATTTATTTACTCATGAACATTTAACAAAACGTTATCAATGGTTTAATTCGGATAAATCATATCGAGATACATGTCGAACAACATGGAATAAACAGATCCAAGGAAAAAAACGTACAAATCATGTTATTTTACCTCATATATATCCAAAGGAAAATACGATAATACGAAATAATCCTATTCATATTGATGAAAATGAAAATTCAAACATAGTAGATCATAAAATTACACAAAAATTCTTATATACACAACCAGTTATGATAGAAATTTTAAATGCACCTCATTCCTATCAAGCATTTAAATATAAAAATGATGTAGAATTACGTAAAAAAAGTGCACAACAACGACATATACAAATTCAAAAAACTGCAATCGATGATAGACGATATACACAACTTTTTCACACATTACAAGAAACTTAAAAAAATATCTATATGTGAACTAGTGCTTTTTTTTTATTTGTTCACTTAAATTGCAAAAACACAATAGTATAACTGTTTTTAATATCATAAATATGATTTTATAATAAGTTACTTGTGTAACAGTATCAGAGAAATCGTACGATTAATTTTTTCAGAAGATAATTTTGAAATGTATGATCATATTAATTATCCTTATTATTGACTTGATCAATTCAAGATTATTGAAATGTCTTATATCACCAATTAAATAAGATAAAGTCGATTGTTAAACGATTACATCAGCTATTAAAAAAAACAAACGATCAATTTATATTCTCTAATTGCACCGGTCAAATGAAATACCTTCATGTCTAACTGAAAAATATTCTAATAGTACCTTGGTTTTTTCAATTTAAAACAATAACAAATCATTTAAAGATAGAATATTTGAATTATCTATAATTCAACTCGATATATATACATATCTTTCTTGAAACATCTCTTCTATTGAGATATAGATCTAAATCGAACATATTTCGGTATGTGTGTGCTCTTTTTTTTTGCACAATAACACACAAGTAAAGATCAGATCGATAGATAATCTATTGAAGGTGAGAAATGAAGGTTGGCTATTGGATAATTGTCGTACACATATATGAGACGAGCAACTAATAGTGTACGTGCGAACAATAGACGTCATACCGAGTGCGGTCTGTTTCATGCTTGTATATATTTTAAATAAAGATGACTTCTCCTATGAATATAGGTAATATTAATTGAAGCATAGTGGGAAATGACATATCGATTGGAATCGAACGACAAAGTGGATAGACTATTCGATAGCATTGACAAAAAAGAAACATCAAAGAAAAAACGGATAGTTCTCTCGAGAAAAAAAAGAAAGCGGATCCTGATGTGTGCAATATGAACAGTGCTTTTATCTTTTCGATCGAATGTTTATATCGATTAACACAAAATAAACATACCTCAATTATTAACTGAGAAAAGTGATTCTTCACTCTATTAGATATTCACTAGTGAAGAATGTGAAATGACAAAATTTTTGCCTTGGTCTTTTAAAATACATAAATTATTTTATCATGCACAACACATCTTTTTAAGTACTGGATCTGGAATAAAATTGTTTGTACAACACGAGAAAAGCTATATAATAAAATATTTAGCACACTTAGTTTGAAATCTTCTCTTATCAAATCGATTTTCCTGATACGTTTTAGACAATTCTAAGAAGTTGAAAGTATTTTGTTAAAGTTTTATGTAATTTTAATAGATAAAAATCGCCAAAAAATACACTCTCTTATATATACACACACACACACATATTTTTCGTTGCAATGCAAAACAAAGTATAGAAACAAAAACAAAAAAAAACAAAATCCATTGCACATAAACAAATCAATGTTCTGTGTATGTTGAGAGTGTTTTCTTCTCCTGAGTATCTTCCGGGTCTGTTTTACAACCAAAAACGAGTAATTCGATCAACATTTTTCTTTGGTGGAGCTGTCGATGATGATGACGATGGTGCTGAATTTATTGTTGGTAATGGTGGAGGAATTGGAATCTGAGGAAGTCCACTATTCATCATTGTTGACATAAAATGTTGTTGCATCATAAACATCATCATAGATGTTGCCATTGGATTGAATAACATTGGATTTGTAGGTTGAGAAAAATTTGATGATGGTGTTGCTATATTATTATGATTAATAATATAATTATAATTTGTTTGAGGTGGTGGTGGTTGTTGTGAAGGAGGATTTCGAGTCTAAAAAATATATAACATTATGAAAGAAATATATAATGCGAGCATTTTACTTTTCGAGACCGATACAATGGTTTATAACATAATTGACTGCGTACACGTTTATTTGCAAACCATTTTTTAACTTGTTTTTGAGTAATACCTATTAAATAACAATGTGAGTAAGTTTCTTTTTTCTTCTTCTTTAAAATTTGTTTATTTTACCTGCTTCATTTGCTAATTGGTCAGTTCGATCATCATCTGGATATGGATAATCTCGATTTAATTGAAACCAATGATTTAAAATTGACACAGCACGACTACCCAAAAATCTATCAAATATAAAAAAATAGTTTAAAAATATCATTAGTTTAGTTTTCTATTACCGTGTATTTCGACATTCTTTATCATTTGATTGTTCTTGAGGTGTTGGTGATGAACATGTACTACTACTTGTACTCGGGTGGCGAATATGTGCATGAATTTGTTGAGGACGAAGTGGAGTACTATGATAATGATGATGATTTCGTTCTATTAAAACAAACAAAAAGAAAATATTAACCTTCAGGGTTTAATTGATCAAGAGAAAGGTGTTTAGTTATTCGTATTCTTTTCTTTTTTTTTTGTTATAGACAATATTGTTCCTATTCATTCAAGCAATTATACGACTATGAGACCTCCTACTGACGGGAAATTTTATTGCTTGAGGTGTAGAGATATACAAGATGGGACATTGAAATGAATTCTTCCTATGGAGGAGATATTCAATATCATTCATTATATAGTTCAACCCACCTTGTTTAACCATAATTGAACTATTATTCTCATCACTTGTATCAACAAAACCGCTATCATATGTTGTTTTCTAAAAAAATAAATATCAAGTTAAATATTCTATAATTTAATATAATAAAATTTTACCTTTGGAATACAATCATGTGTATCATCTTCACCAGAATAATTCTCTTCTTCATCATCACCATCAACATCATGTTCGATTGTAGGTGAAAGTAAATGTTGTGGATGATTTGTTAAATCTAATACATCGGGGTCTTGTTTGATACGAATCATTTTTGAATATGAATGAATGAATACTTTAATAGAAAAGATGAATATATATGTGAGTGACGTAATGAAAGAAGAAATGATCGTTCGTCTCCTTTTAAAATATACAAGTTATCTTTTTTCTCTCTCTGTCTCTGTCTCTCTCTCTTCTTCGAAAGAGAATGAAATTGTTCAATTGGTTGAATTGAAGATGACAACTAATATTCGTATTGGAAGAAGAATTAATGAGAAATCATTAGGTTTGATAAAACATCAATTAAGAAACAAATATTCAACTAAAACAGCTGATGTAAATAAGAAAAAAATAAATACGAAAGACTAGAAGCTCACAACACGTGCCATCCTTTTGTTTCATATAGATTTTGTTTATATCTCACGATTTTCGTTCTATTCGAAATAACGTTGTTAATTTTTATTCTCTGATGTAAAAATTTTAAACAGGATATTCGTTTTATTTTCTTATTTAATTTTGCCACTTTACAAATTACACATAATTTGTAACAGGAACTTGTCAAATTTGTTTTCAATTAGAATTCTTCATTTGATCAATTGAATTGAAAACAGATGACGAAATTGGAAAAAGAAAAAAATATTTTCTTTATTATGATAAGTTTTATAATATAGTTAAATCTTGTATAATTATACGATTGGTTTTATTGACACATTTAATCGTGTGAGTTGAAGAAGAGCTGATTTAGATATATACATGGAGATTTTTTTCTTATAAATAACACATTTGAAATTGAGAGAAACAATTGGATTAGTAGAATATGATGCATCTGATGAATAGACAAGATAGGAAAATGTGTTTTATAACAGATGAATGTTGTGATATATAGTAGTTAAAATCTGTCGAAGAGTAATCATGAAAATCTTCGGAAATTAAACTCATATTCGATTGGAAATAATTTTATTATAACTGAAATATAATCTATATTTAAAAGATATTGTAGTGGAACAGATTTGTGATAAAATGTGTTACTCGTTTAAGCAAATCTAGCGAGTGTCAATAAAACAGTATGATTGAACTTTTGGTTAATAAAATTCGTAGAACTATTATTTGATTTCTTTATGTAATGTTAAACTAGTATTGTCATCTTGATTTTTACATATTCTCTGCTGTGCATTAACTATTTTGCCCTAGATACGACATATGTATATATATATATATGTACACATATTTAGATTGGTGTCAACAAGTAAAAAAGAAAAGAAACTGATACAAATCATTCAGTACGATAGCGATATATTAGACAAGGAGAAGAGTTATTAACATCATACATTTTGTTCAACTGCCTACAATTGAAAAGAGATATAAAAGATCGTTAGTAAAACGAATGAAAAATATGTTTATTAAATATGTATTACAATACAAATTCTTATTTTAACACGGTCTATTATCATTATCGAACTAAAGCAAATATTAAGTACATGCCAGCAGGTTGACCAACCAAGAGACTAACATACTATTTTGATCGCCTATACGGTTTTGTCTTTAGTTAAGTCATCACATACCTCGATGAGAAGTTTTCTTTCTTTTCGTTTTTTTGTACAACATTAGTATTTCTAGAGTTGTTAATTTTCTCTTATGCTTTCTTCTTTCTCCTGTTTCCAATGTCTTTCTTAAAGCTCAGTTTGTGATAAGACGGTTAGTGCATAATGGCGAATTCGTTATACGAAATAAATAAAGCGTTCATAAAAAAAAATCATCATACATTTAATTCATTTGTTGAGACAAATAGTAAATTATTCAATATTTTTCAATTTATTGTGAAGTAAATATAAAACTCGTATTAATAAATATGAAATGAATTAAATTCGACCTTTCGATCTCATTAAAGGATCATTTACAAGAATCTCCAGCACGACCACCACCTATAGTAATAATATATATGAAATCTCATTTCTTCACTTTAATATGTAATTTAATCCAATTTTTGAGACAAATAGTAAATTATTCAATATTTTTCGATTTATTGTGATCCTTTTAATGAGATCGAATAGTCGAATTTAATTCATTAATACGAATTTTATATTTACTTCACAATAAATTGAAAAATATTGGATCATCATACATCTATATTTATTTGTTTTACTGAGTACTTAAAATCGTACTCTTCTTCTTCAGAATAGATTTTATTAAAAAAATTACACAAATTTCTTATCGATTAAGTTTATATTTGAAACTTTCAATATTTCTAAAGGAGTTTAATAAGGAATAAACATGATCGTAATGATTAGTAATCATTTTTTTTATTGTGATTCACACTATTTGAAATGATTCATTTGTATTTTCTGATTATTTTTTAAATATGTCAGGTCATCATTTTATTCATGACATAGGTTACGATTTGAAGTTATAAAAAAACTCTGTTTGATTAATAAACCCATATATATTTAATAAAAACTACATGAATATTTTTATTTATTTATTTATTTCAATATGTAATTATTATATGTTATATCACAAATACATTTAAAAAAAAATGATTGACTGCATATTCAAGTTCAAATGTTTCTTATTTCCATTAAATGGGCTTAGGACAATTCTTTAATAATCTTGAGTTCGTCGTGGAGTAGAATCATGAAAACCACCATCACGTACTGTAGTTCTAATACCACTTGAAATTGTTTGATAACCAGCTGATGTTGGTCGATTAGATTGAGAAATAAGACTTCTCATAGCACCACCTGAACTTGCACTTGAACCTATAACTGAACCTCTTGAACCACCACCACCACCACCACCGCCGCCACCACTACTACCACCACCTATAATTGAACCTCCATAACCATAATTTGAACCAGTTGTATTAACAAAAGTGCGAGTAATCGACGATATTGCTCCTCCACTTCCTCCTGCACCACCACCACTACCACCACCACGACCACCACTACTAGGATTATCAAGTGCTTGTTGTTCAGCATGTTGTACAATTCGATCGACATATCCTCGAAGACCCGTTTGACCTTGAATAAAAAAATTTAGATAAATAGAAAAAAAAACACAAAACAAATATTTCTTACTTTCAAGTAAATCACGGTAGGTACCAATTTCTTTTTCGAGTGAAGTTTTCAAATTTGATACTTCATTAAAATTAGCATTGGCTATTTCTAATCGACGACGTGCTTCTTCAAGATCTCTGTCTCTTCGAGCTTGTGATTGACCACTTTCTTCACGTGCTGAATTAAGTTTTCTTGTTAATTCTTCAATACGATTTTTAAAATCTTGATTTTTTGCACGAATATAACCACTTTGATTTTGTGTTTCTAAAATTTCTGAACGAACACGTTCTTCATGTCGACGTTGTTGTTCATCATATAATGGATTTGTTTCTGGTCGTTGTTGACGAACAACAAGTTCATTATATAATAATGAATAACGACTTTGCATATCATTACGTTGACCATCAACAACATTTTCAAAATCATTACGAATTTCACGTATAGCTTGTGATAATTCATTACGAAAGAAATGTGATGGATCAAGATCATTTGAAACATTTTTAGAACGAACATCAGCTAAATCAGCTTCATCTAAAAATAAGGAGAACAAAAAAAAATAAACTATCAGATTTGAATTATTTTTTAAATCTTACGCATATGTTTTACTGATATTAATTCATCATCCAATGCTAATTTTTCTACTTCACATGATGATTTGAGAAATCTTTCATTTTGAATTTCATTTGAAAGACGTGAAATTTCTGCTGTAATACGTTGACTTTCACCTTTATATCGACGGGCTTCATCTTCAAGATCAGCTATACGACGACGAAATAATGATATTTGCTATATAAATAAAATATTTTAATATACATCTATGAAAAAACTAATGGTTTCTTTAAATGACTAATGATCATCGATCGTATGACTAATCTTATAGAATAATTTATCATTATAACAAAAGAATTCAAGTACTATTGTTTGAATGATTACATATACATTTCTTTTTTTCTTTTGCTTCTTTGAATAACTTCTTTAACAATCAGGTTCTGTACGTGATTGTGTATGTATTCACAGAGTGAACAAAAGAAAAATTAATAAAATAAAATAGAACATCTAATATGGTATAAATCAATATCTAAATAACATGTGTAAATATTAACATTAAAGTATGTTTGACTTTTAGTATAATTATTCAATAGAATTTCCAAGGATTATTGTAAATTTAATACTTACAGCTTCATTTTCAGCAATTTGTCGTTGAAGAGCATCAAGTTCTTTTCGATCAGTTTCTCTTACGCCAGATATTTCAGTATATTGTGCTTTTTGTCGTTTAAGTTGTTGTTCAGCTTGTTGACTTTTAACATTAGCAGCAGCAGCATCACGTCTTGTACCTTCAATAAGTTTATTGGCTTCACCCATTTCAATATCATACATTTCTTTAATACGTGATGAACCACTATAAACAGAAAAAAAATGAAAATTAAATTATTGTGGTTTATTTTTTAACTTACTGTCCTGAACGTTTACGTAATGCTTCTAATTCAAGTACTAATTTTCGATTTTGTGCTTCTAAAAATCGTACTTTTTCTATATATTGTGCAAATTTATCATTCAATTGTACAAGATCACGTTTATCACGATTACGCTCTACATTGAAACCAACTACAGCAGTATTTACACCTGATCCACCACCACCACGCATTGGTACACCAGGAAAATTTGCTAAAGAAGCAAGACCAGGACCAAAATTACCACTACTGCTAGCACCACCTGATTGAACTGATTGGTATACACGTGTCATAACACCTCCACCACTCCTGTTTAAAGCTGATCCACGCACTCGTTGTACATTATTAACACGAGGAGCTATAGCTGTGTGATAATTTGTTGTTGTTGATGTTGATGTTGTTCCTATTGAACCATCATAAGAACCATCGATTCGCTCATATTCATGCGCTCTTCTGTCTTTTGATTCAAATGGAGGAGTAAACATTTTTAATTGTTAAGAAATAGAAACTGATTGATGAAAACTAAAATACAACAATAAATCTTATATTTCTCGGCTTTTTATAATACTATTGTCTACTAGAACGAAAAAAAAACAACTTTATAACGAATAAAGTAGTCGACAACATTTCAGTTGCTCACCTTCTCTTTCTCTCTCTGTCCCTTTCTTCTTTTTTTTTCTACTTATACCGCAAGCAAAATATATACTTTTTTTCCTTCTCTCTCTCTCTCTCTGTGGTTGTTTTTTTTATTCTTTCTAATCGACGCTCTTACTCTTTCAATAAAAAAAAAAAGTCCGTTTTCATCGACGCCATACAAAGCAGACAAAAACAAAAACAACAACAACAACCGCAACAACAAAAACGGCTCATCATGTAGAAAAAAGTATGAGTGGAAAGTTGTGGTTAAGAATTTGTTTTAGTTTACTAATCCCTAGATCGTTTTTTGTTGACATAAAAATTTTTTTGTTAGTGATAAATCGATTTGTGGACACTTATTCATCTTTTTTTCAAAAGAGAGTGAATTAATTTTGAGGTATGCTGCTTGTTTTTTTTTCATTATGAATGTTTGTCACGAACAGGCTTATACTATAACAAAAATATTATCGTTGTCAGACATTTTTTAAAAGAAAGAAAGATATTGACATTTCTTTTTCGGTTTTTTTACTTTTCATCGATTATTATTCTTTTTTTATGATATTATTTTGAGTATGACATCCTTATATACATTCTATACATTTGATCAAATAGTAGCGAATATATTTTTTTTGATGGTATTATTCCGTATGAATAAAACTGAAGTAGTTATTAGTCGAAAAATATATTTATACAATAGATATTTATTCATCTTACATGTCCTTGTATAAATAAATATACATCAATTAAAGATTCTATAGGTTCTTTGAATTTTTCTTGTATTTGTTCTCATAACTATTATATTTATTTTATAAAGCCAATCTATTACTCATTCGTTTGTAAGAAAATAAATATTTTCCTTTTTATATGATAATCTAAATCATGTCAATATTAAATTTTTTCTATATAGGAACTAATGAAGCAATTATATATCAATATAATTTTTATTACTTTTTTTTACAATCAAAGCTCGTAAAAAAATAATTTGTATAAATATATTAGTCAAAAAAAAATTTTTTTTTATTAAATTGTTTCATTACAATTGACGACTTCAAGACGAGATTCATCAAAACATGTCCATAATGTTTGATTATCAAATAATTTTGTTTTAAGTGCTCGGGAATAGAAAAACCATGTATATATATTAAGAACAGTAACAAAGCATAAAAATACCATGAAAACTAATCGATTGATAATAGATATAGCATATAAACTTTCTTGATTTATTGATATTGTTGGATCTTTTGTTTTACTAGATTTTCGAAATGAAAAATTCATTTTTCTATTATTATCAGGACCATTTGATACTACTGGTTGAGGTGCGGTTAATATAGGTCGACGAATCCATATAGGTGACGTTGTCGTTGTTTCATTTGCACATCGAAGAGTTGTCGTTGATGGACGAAGTGATGGTGGTGATTTTCCAGGATTAGATGAAAAATCTCGTTCGAAACAGGAATGATTAGAACAATCCATTGAATTCGATGATATTAATGGTTGTAATACAACTGCATTCGGTGACGATGGTGTTGTAGGAGTCGTTTTAGGTTGTTGATTAACAGCAGCAGCACGTACGGCTTTTCGACGCATACTATTTGCACATACAATTCGTGCGATATAATCAAGTGCTAACCAACGAACCCAATAGGGTAAACGTTTTTTTTCACGTAATTTATTTGCGAGTGCAAACCAAGTCATAGCTGCTAGGGAGAAGAGCATACAGATAGTTAAATACAAGCTTATTAAATGAACACTATCACTTTGAGATGGAACATCTTCAGATAAGCGTAAACTAAAGACAGAATAAGCCAACATTATACTAATACCTAAATATGATAAATAGATTCAATCAATAATCTATTGGTTATTATTAAATTTACCAATTTGCATTTCTTGCCCAAAGGGAATCTATAGAGAAAACATAGAAATAAATTTTACATGTCATTTGTATAGTTCTACTTACAAAAAACGATACAAGTGTTAAAGTTGTTAACATTAATGCTGGTACAACCGTATTATAAATAGCTTGTAAAGGTTTTCTTACAATTAAAATAGTAAAATTAATTTCAAAAAAAGTATCAGGTTCAACCCAATTTGGATAATCAATTGTTTTTATTGATTGTGCAACAGCTAATAATTTCCATTCATTATTTGGTGTATATTGTGGTAATTCAGGTACTTTTTCCCAAAATCTATAATGTATTAATGAACTTGTATGACTCCATGAACCAAATATCATATCACAAGATTGTTCATCTTAAATAAATATAATGTATGAGATGAAAAGTTCTTTTTTTTTATCGATTATGACAAATAATCGAAATGGAACCACTTTACAATAATAAAATTACGAGAGAACAACTTTTTTTTTCTATACAACTATCTCAAAATAAAATTTCCTTTCTATTCATTCATAATAAATTTAAAATTGTCCTTATAATTTATAAGTTAATTAAAGTCAAACTTTCAACAATAATTAATGTTAGTAATTTTACGCATTCTAATACGTTTTGACTTAATGTCATCTATGAAAAGGTAAGCTTATCTATGATTTAAATGAATAAAATAAATAATTAGTAAAATACAACTATCATCTTTCATATTTTGTCTTAGTACGATTAAGCTAACGAAAATATGTGAATTGCATATTCTACTCCCAAAAGAATGATACTAACGAACTTTTCAATGTAAATTATTGATCAATCGCCTGACAACTAATAGAGAATGTCAATGGAACATAAGTATAACTAGTATAGACATTTCCTTTTCTGTCATGCAATTTCTAGAAAATAATGCTGATTTAAAATAATTTTTTTTTTTCGAAATTCTATTAAATTAAATATGAATAATATATGTACCGAATGGAAAATGTTTAATAGTCATCCGACATCGCGTGCGTAATTGTGCAAGAGGTAACGGCCAAAATATTGTACCATTATGACTTACAATTACATTTTGTGAATCATGTGGGAGGAGAAAACCAGCATTATCAGCTGTATTATATAAAAATGTGTCGGGATACCTAAAAAAAAAGAAAACAAATTGAATTTTGTTTTTGATTAAATCATTTATTCTACCAGACAGATGTTGCTGGTAATCGAATCCAAGTAACATTTTTAAAATCTAATGGATTCCACACGAGTCGAGGATCTTAAAATGAATTTTTTTTATAAAATATACGAAAAAGTAAAAAAAAATCACCTGTCCATTTTTGATCAACAAAACAATTCGTAACAATAATTTGTTCTTTTTCAACCATTGATACAATTTGATTAAATACAAAACGAATATCAACAACAACTGTATGCATTGGACGAACTTTTTTTAAATAATTTTTTTCATTTAAAAGCAAACGAATTAAACGTGTTTCTTCATCAATTATATTATAATCGTGATAACCATAGATTAATGATGGAAATAGAATATATAAATATAAATATATATAAACAAATCGGTCATTTAACATTTTTGTTTATTCCCAATTATCAACGGCAAATATTCACGATCGTATGTATGTATGTATATTGAAAGATCTTTGAAGAAAAGGATTTATTACTTTGTTCAATATTTATAATGATGACGATAATGTTTTAGTTCACAGTTATTACATTCAACAGACGAGTGAGCAATCCTTATAATTTTGTTAGCAGCGTTCGATGTGAATTTCCAATTTGCTGATGATTTATATATGTGTTCTGATTTAGTAAACCGACAACAAACTATGACTAGGAAGAAAAAAAAGCAAGCAATTTAATTGTTCTCAAGAAAATAATCTATTAGAATATGATGAATGATATAGGAAAGAAAGAAAATTGTCATCAGATTTAATAACAAACAAAATGAATTCCATATGTTTAAATAGATTACTCTCTATTGACGATCAAAAAAACACAAGATGCATTAGAAGTATCACAGATGAATTTTCGTAATTATTTCCTTGTGTATAATCCCTATGGACATAAACTTAAGGAATATATGAATACTCCTGACATTACATAAAAAAGAAAAGATCGATGATTACAAACATTTGATAATATTTTAGAATTAAATATGAAAATCTGTTTACTATCAAAGACTGTAAGTTGATTTTTTTAATACTAACAATTTTTTTATTAGAATAAAGAACTTCGTTGTATTACCTGCTTTTCTTCTCGTTCAGCAATACGATTATGATTAAAGAAAATAATAAAATAAATGCTTGAAATTAGTAACAATATGGCTTCTATTGTCATTGGTGTACGAAGCGGAAATAGGGTGAAACACGAGATAGTATTTTGATCATGATTCATTTTTATTGATGACTTTATTTAGGTAATTTAGTGAGCATGAGAAAAGAGCAATATATATATATATATAATATATCAAGGAAATAAGAGGAAAACGCAAATTTCTTTTTCCTCTTTCGCCAAATGTCTTTTCTTTTCTAGTGTAATTAAATACCAAGCAAGAATAATGTATGAGGAAAGAAAAAAGAACAAGAAAAAGATTGGAAACAGGTTTAAATCAATCACTAAAATAATGACAATCGAACTTTTTTTATTTATTTATTGTAAGACATAAAACATACAAAGAATCATCTTAACTTAAAACTTCTTACAACATATAATAGCATGTGAATATATCCATCAATGGTTAAATCATAGGATAGACAAAAAAATAGGTTGCGGGACTAAAGATTACGCAGAATAGAAAAAAAAATAAATGTCATTTGATTTTGTCATTTTTACCATGTAGTATCTAGATGACCACGAAAAAGAGGTTGTAATTTTGTTTTCGCTTCTTCTTCTGATGATGCATATGCATCAATTAATAATGGAATATGACATGGCGTAATACGACCATACCATGTACCTGATGGATAAACAATAACATTACCAGCAAATTTATGCCCACCTAAATAAAAATATTTATCTTAAATCTATTTTGCTTAATTAATAAAAAAAGATTTATTTTTCTCATGACTTATCAGAAAATTAATATTCATATCTAATCTTCGATAATCAGATAATTAAAAATGATAATAACGTACCAATATGACTAATCTTTAGGCAATGAACATTATCACTAAGATCTTTTTTGTCTGCAACATATTTTTCAATTTCACCAACTAACGTTGGACCAATAACTCCTAAAAAAATAAAAATATAATTATCAACGAAAAAAAAGAACACTTTTATTTTATTGATTGATATTATATGACTATTCAGAGATATTTCTTTCCTATCAAAATTCTATCTTAACAGTATATTATTTTATATAATCATAGTTGCGGAACTGTGAACATTATAATGAATGAAAATAATGTCATTATCGAATATAATCATTCATCTTCAAACTATTGCCGACATTAGTCTTTGACATATACAGGGGGTATCAAAATTATAGACCCCGATTTGTTTGCATAATTTCTTAATAAAGACGACTTATTAAGATCATTATAAATAATGATTTAGATGGCGCGTGAGCTGTTCTATCGAATACAGCATAAGCCAAAACCAGAGAAAATTATTCAAAATGATGGGTCTCATTAGAAGGACTCAAGAAAAATGTTCATTTAAATAAGAGATGGGTGCAGTTCTTTACGACATTTCTATAGAGTCTGTACTTTGGATACCTCCTGTAGACATAGACAAATTGCTATTATTGAACATTATCACGTTCGATATATCATTTTTTCTATTTATGTATCTTGAATTAGTTTTATTTATAATTAACTATTTTAGAAGTCATTTATTTGTCTACGAACAAATCATGCATTAATTCTCTAAGGATTGTCAACTTGAAATGAGTATATAATTTACAATAAATAAAATATCTCTAGAACATACCACATCGTATATCACGTTGATAATGACAACAGACAAGTAGCCAAGTTCCATGTAATCTTTCGCAATGAATATTATCATCGAATGTTGGTAAATTATTACTTTCTTTTAATTGTTCATCAATCGTTTTTGTTTTATCTTTAATTTTAATAACTGACTGATCATCAACAAATAATGTTTGAATAACTTGTTCAATCTGTTGGATATTGACATTTTTTATTTTAATTTGATCAGGAAATAAATACCAATCAGCTGTATGCGCTGGATCATCTGTTGTTGTTGTTGTAACAATAGATGCAGATGTTAATTTAACCGCATAGCCAATAGATTCTTTTTTTTCTTTCAATACTCGTGATAATTCAGCAATATAATTACCTTCTAAATCTTTAACATCTTTTGGCCATTGTGATGTTGGTATAGATTGACCAATACATAAATGACGACGATGTTTATCAACAGAGCCAATCATTTTACCTTGATCAATATCTTTCAAAATTTCAGGTTGAACAATAGCATGGAATTCACATGGAATTTTGCAGCCAGAGCATGGGTCATATGAGCTTGTTGCATCTTTAATAAAAATATATATATATAAGGTTGACATCAGTTTTTCATACATACCAGTTGTTGAACTCATTCTCGAAGAGAAATGGAATGCAAAGAAAAGTAAATATTAGATCTAAAATCAATATAAACTTGTATAGCTCTAAATCAAACTCATAATTCATTTCGAAAAGACATTCTTGACTGTTATCAAATTATTAAACCGTTTCCATCCTTACTACAAGTCAGAATAATGACATAACTTTCATTTCTGCCCTAATCAGCTAACTACCAATATTGATTTGTATCTCTCCTAAAACGAATGATATAATTTCTGAAATCTTGCATTTATATTTAAATTTTGTGTAAATATTATTAAAATGATCTATATTTATTAGTTTATTTTTTATTTTCTATTTGAAATTTATCAAATAGACAAATTTCTTTCAAAACAAAAAAGATTATTTATTTTTTTTGTTTTATTTTTTTCTTTTGTTCTTTACTAGAAAATAATTCTAAAGCATTTTGATAATCAGTTAACATCGATGAAAAATCTTCTTTTTTAATATCCATATATTTAAGTTTATTTCGTCGATGAGATTTTATTGTTGACCGAAACATTTGTAAACGTTCTTTTTCCACTATTGTTATTGATCGACCAATTTTTCCAGCACGAGCTGTTCGACCAATACGATGTGTATATGTACGAATATTTTTTGGTAGATCATAAAGAATAACACAATCAATATTCGGAATATCAATACCACGTCTAATCATAACGAAAAAAAAAGAACATTTTTGATATTTTTTTATAAACTAAAACTTACGCAAGTACATCGGAACAAACAAGAATTTGTATTTGTCCATTTTGAAACATATTTAAACGTGTTTGAATTTTATTAGATGCTAAATTTCTTGTTATATGACTAACTTGAATTTTATCTTGTAAAATTAATTTAAGTAATGAACTTAAACGATCAACATCTTTTTTTGAATGAACAAAAATCATAATTTTTTCTGAATGTAATTGATTTTTTATAAGATAAGCAACAATTAATGGTTTATATGTTATTGAACAAACAACAAAATTTTCGCGTAATGTCGAAGGCATTATTATTGATGATGTTGTTGATAATGATGAGAATAGTATTGGATGAAAAAGATTTAATTGTTGTAAAATTTCCGGATTATGAGTTAATGTTGCTGAAAAAAGTAATTTTTGATAAAATTTATGATTCGATGATAATTGACTAAGCATATATGGTTGAAAATCATTTTTTATTTGACTTGATATACCAACAGCATTATCAAGAATATTCAACCAATCTTGTTTAAATTCATCAATAATACGATCGGCTTCATCAATAACAAGATAACGAAGATGTTTTAAAGAAAAACCTATTGTTCGACTGATATGTTCAACAAGACGACCAGGTGTACAAACAATAATATCAATAGATGATGTCCAATCTTTAAAAAGAGAAAATAATCAATAAATAAACCAGTAATGCTCGTCCGAGGACTCGCTTAGCTCTTTCTCGTAGAAATATATCCTCCTCACATTTACTGAAAAATAGGTTTTCGATGTTTTTTTGACCTTCGCTCTCTCCTCACCATGGCCACCCAACAGACTTCAGATTCGAACTCCTCGTATCGAAATGTCTTTTCAAGAAAATTGATTTTCGATGTTTTTTTGACCCTGCGGACAGACAGACAAGCAAACAATTCATTTTTACTGGATTCTTCTCTACGAGAAAGAGAATAAATAAATAAATGATTTATTTTCTTACTTCCATTTAATTGTTGTTTAACTAAAACTTTTTGTTCATCTTCAAATGAATGTTGTCCAGCAAGTAATGCTGTTTTTAATTGTAATTTATTTCCTATTTGATTAATAACATGATAAACTTGTTCAGCTAAATCTTGAACAGGTAAAAGAATAACAATACGAATAGCACATGTAACACGATGACGAATACATTGAATAAGTGGTATAACATATGTTAAAGTTTTTCCACTACCAGTTGGTGATGAAACACAAATATCAGCTGGTGGAATAGGTGAATGTGAAAGATTTTGTTTGATTAAATAAGGTATAACTTGAGATTGTACTGGAAATAGATGTTGAATAGAAAGATCATTGATTAATATTGAACGAAGATCTTCATCAAGATAATCAATTTGATCAATAGGAATAGTTGTTTCTGCTTGGATTTGTCCACTATCAAAACGTTTTGCTAATGATGACATCCATTCTGGTAAACGATATAGATCTTTTTTTTTCTTTAATGATGAATTATCATTCAGAAAATTTGGAAGAATTGTAAAATCTTCTTCTTCGTCAATGGACATTTTTTGTTGATATCTGAAAAGAATTAAATAATTGATATTCATAAAATTTGGATTTTTTTTATCGAATTTTATGAAGAGATTACTTATTATTAATGATAAATAAGATGAAAACTTATTATTTAATATATTCTTTATTTATTTTTAGAGTTTTGCTCGATTCCGAAGCCATTTCTAAATCTAACCTACCGAAATTGTTACTTATATCGGCAATAGATGTCACTATTCTATTGCTGTACGATTTATTTTTTGTATGAACGTCTAAATATAACGTACAACATTTATCCCTCATAGTAATAGGATTATCTTCAATATTCGAAGACTAACCTGCTCAATGGTGTCTGTTGACGGCAAAGATCTCACTGAACAATAAGAATATTCATTATCTGTTTTTGATTTAGTATTATTGCGAAATTAATTGACATCTTTACATTAATTTTTACCAAGTGACAAAATATATAGAAATATCACCGAGGAAAAATACAGATGCTATTAACTGCATCAAAGTATTATTTTTATTCTCTCGGACAGTTCATCCCATTATAATTCGAGTTTTACATAAAAGTAAAAAAAAGCAATCAATTAGTATGATTACACATATATGACATAGGTATGATATTCATACTCAAACTCCTACTCCCCAAAATTTCGAAATGTATAATAATATCTGTGACGACTTTTGATAGAAGGAGTGTTAGTGCTGATCGTATTATACTTTTCTTTACCTAGAATCTCATCATTTTTATACAAAGTATACATGTATATGCCTGTCCATTAGAGAGAGCAAAGAAAACAATAAGAACAGAGTACGATGGAGACAAAGTATCATACGATGTATGAAATAAGAACAAAATGGATAAGGGCAATATGTCAAATGAGAAGAATTCGTAAGAGGACAAACATCGTTACAATAATTAAAACAAAAATATGTTCGAAATCCAATACAATAATTTAAACAAAAATATGTGTGAAATCCGATACAATAATTCAAACAAATATGTTAGAAACTCAATACAATAACAACAATATTAGCTGACTACTAAATTAAAGGCGTTTATTTCCTAAACCAAAGGAATTGATTCCTATTTTTCGACGAAAGTTAATCATCAAAATCTGATATTAGCAGCTAATACGTATGATAGAATGGACTACTGAACAATTTCCGAATACACATGAGACACTAGACTAACTCGGTAGAGTTTTTCATTAATACTTGCAAAGCTTGATGAGTTTCAAGGGAATTCCAAACAGTTGAAACTGTTGCTGAGTTTATTCTGTTTTCGAAATTTAAATAATCATTTCGCTAGTTTCTATCAAATTTTGATGGTATTAGGCACAGGGTTGCCAGATGCTACACTTGAGAATTCGGAAAGGTTATTAGCGATCATTTTTATTCATTTTTTCAACAAAAGGATCAATAGCTTTATTCTAAAATTCTACAAAATATATTTCAATGAAAAAGATGTCAAAACATAGTTAATTTAACAAATAATAAACCATAAGCTATACATTTACATATTAAATAATACGTTGTTTTTTAAAAAATATCCAAAAACTGAAAAATCTGGCAACCCTGATTAGACAACAAAAGATGGTCTTATTAAAACAATCACTTTGATAGCTATTCGATGACATTTTAATTTCCCACAATAAGAAATATGGTCACAGCCTTAATATATACTTGTTCTTATTTTCTATGTCTGTAGTGGAATAAAACGAACAACAAATATGTAATTTTTGAATAAAAAAAAGCATACATTTGGATATTCCTTCACAATCGTTCTGTTTTAAAGGTCGTTGCTTAGCAACACATGATGTATGTCTAATGTTAGTTTTTTTTTCTTTATAAATTGTTTCTTTCTTTTCTCGATTTTTAGAATATCACGATGGTAAAATTAACATCTGATCTTATTGCTAAACAAACACCTGGTCATAATAAACGACGTGCTGATGAATCCGTTGAACATTATCTTTCACGTCTTACACATTTACCATTTCAAAATCGAGGCATTGAATCTATTGTAATAATTTTTCTATTCTTCCTTTATTAACTTATCTACTAGAATTTTTTTAAGGAATCAATTCCACCTTGTCGTCAATTAACAGTAATTTATCTCTATGATAATATTTTAACTAAAATTGAAAATTTAAATTTTGCTGAAAATTTAACACATCTTTATTTACAAAATAATCGTTTACAAAAATTAGAAAATCTTGATTGTTGTCCGAAATTACAAAAATTATATCTTGGTGGTAATCAAATTCAAGTTCTTGAAGGTCTTGATAAAAATATTCATATTAAAGAAATTTATATTGAAAATCAACGTTTACCACAAGGTGAAAAACTTGTTTTTGAACCACGAACTTTACAGTGTTTATCACATGGTCTTGGTAAACTATTTCAAACAAAAAAAAATATAATATTTTTCTTTTTTCTATTTCTTAGAAATTTTAAATGTTAGTGGCAATAATTTAGATTCTCTAACGGAATTAAGTTGTTTGGAAAAGTTACAAGAATTATCAGCAAGCAATAATAGTTTAGAAGATCTTCGTGAACTTGTTCAACTTTTAAGTATATGGCCACGTTTAAGAAGACTTGATACAAATCGAAATCCATTATGTGCAAAAGGACGTTATCGTGAACGATTAATTGTTGTTTCAACAACATTAGGTAAATATTTTTTTTCTCAATAGATTTTTATTATATAAGAATTTTGTATATATAGAAATGCTTGATGGAAAACAAATAACAGATAATTCTCGACAATTTTTAAAAAGTTGGAAAGCTTCACGTGAAGCTTTACAAACACGAGAAAGATCTAGACCAGATTTTCATGAAACATCAATGCACTATCCAAATCATCGTAGTATGTCAATGAAATTTTTATAATTATAAGATTGCGATTAATATATATATATAATTAGTTTCTGTAACTCTGCCAACCATTAGTGCGAAAGTTGGACGAGCACAATCAATGACAATACATCAAATGCCAGGTTAGTTTTTTCTCTTCTACTAGAATACAAACAAAAACAACTAGTATTTTTTTGCTTTTAATATGGAGAATATTCCGAAACAAATATTATATTCTAGTTTTTCCTCGTCCATCTTCATCCAGACTTGGTATTTTACCGCTTTAATTCATATTTTCCCCTATATATTCTATTAATCGGGCTGCTTACTTTTCATATTTATAAATTAATATAGTTTTATAATTAATTCTTTTTAATGTATATTTATATATCATTTGAACTCTTAATTATATTCAAGTATAGATAGTTTTGAAAAAAATTTTAATTTGCTTTCAGTTATTCTTAGATTTGAAATGAACTATTTTTTGATATTGTTTTTTGTTTAAAAATAGATCATCATCATAATGTAATTAAAAACGATATTGGTCCAGCTAAAACTAGTCAATTTCAGATGCCTTTGGGAGAAAGTGATCATCGGTTTGTTAATTCGAATATTTTTTTTTGTATCAAAATATTATTTATGTTTGTGTTATTTTTATAGAAAATTTACTTCAGGATCAAATAGAATATTAAGCCATTCATCATCTAAAAGCTCAAACAATCCTGAATTAACAATTTCAAATCATGGTCGCCTTTTCACTGCTCAAAATCCAACATATTTTAAATGAATTTATTACTAATTTTCAATTGTTAATAGTTTATGGCAAGAAAGGTTATACGTCTAGAAATGTTTATTAAAGTTAATGTGATCAATTCAGTTTTTTTCTCGTTATTTTACTTTTGTCCATAAAAAAAATAAATATCATTTTATTTAATTATTATCAAATTCTCAGTTATACATAAGTTAAAGTATAATAAGATTGATTCAAAATCTATGCATAAAATACATTAAAATTAACTTAGATCTATTAAAAACTATTTATCACATTTAATAATTTAGGTTTTCTCTCTTGAAACGAAACAATAATAACATCGATGAAATCATCATATACAATTATATATGACTTTGTCACTTCTTTTTCCTATTCGTTAAATCAAAATGATTTATTGTATTTGATAAGTAGAGAACATAATTAAATAATAAATGACAATAAGACTAGGACATCAAAACATGTCTTTATTGTGAAAAGGAAATAAGAAATAACCATATATTGTTAATAAATATATTCAATTCTTTGAATTAGACTATTCTCGTTGGTGTATTTAGATAAGAAAAAATTAATTTCTTTTTTTTTTCGTGACATCTATTCATTTTATATACATTAAAAGTATCAAAGAATAAGATGATTTTATGATAATATTAGAAAAGATATCTTTGATGACTTGTCGTACTATAAAAATGTCAGTTTGAAGAATGAGTATTTCTGAAAAAAAGAGGGAGTACAAATATTGTTCAAGTATTAGTAAAACAGAAGGTTCCTATTTGTATTAATCATTTACTTAGTTGAGTTAAAGTAGTTCTGTCAATTTTTCCGATCTATTACATGCAAAAACTCACAGAGTATTCAATGATCAAAAGGAAACTGTGGTAAGTACACTTGACTTTTAACATTTACTATTATTGAAAGGAGAAAAGTCAGGGAATTCGGTAAACAAATGCAAAAATCATGTTTTTAAATATTATATATAAAAGACATAACTTACAATTATTAATTCAATTTTTGTATTATTTTATTATGGAAAATATCAGAATAGATTACGTATTCAAAGATGTATCTACAATGTAAGCAATAATACGAAATCAACTAACTAATAACTAATAAAATAAAATGTTTTGGATTATTTTGACTAGGGAAATATATTAATGATATTCTTGTTTTTTCATTATATTCTAATTTATTATAATAATATGATAAAACGCACATTTCTTTTTTATTACAAGATCTTATCGTAGAATATTATTTGTCTTTATGATCATATGAAGTTCATAGACAATACTATACTATTAATCTATGAATTAGAATTAAATAAAGGTAAGTAAATGGTTCATTTAATAATTATATATAGTTATTATATGAATCATATAATTCTATCAATTATGCAGATAAATTTTATAGTGTATACTATGCGATAGAATAGACGAGAATGTGAAACACGTATATCGTAGTATTTATTCGTTTGTTTCTTTCTACATTTATCTATTTCTGCATTTGAAGAGCAAACTTACCGACGCATCTTACTCTATCACTTAAGACTAATCAGTTCGAAAATATTGGTTTTAAAAGGTATAGTCAAATATTTTATTTCCTAATAAATTCATTAGGTTATCTTACAAGGAAATAGCTAGACAAATGTTACTGTTATCATAATAATGTGGATCATTAAACTGATGACAAAAAAAGCTGTGTTATTATAAATGATAATATACATTAGAATATTCATATCACGAATATTTTTTTGAAAAGTAATCACATCATTTCAATACTCTCTCCTATAAAGTTATTCCAACCTAGGTTATTTTTCTTTTTCGGATGGTTCTTATCTAATAGACATTTGTCGAACAGTTGAGTTCTCTATTTCTGTTTTTGTTTTCTTTACACATACACCACCTTATTCAATGACGAAGAAAAAATTCAATATGTTTCATCATTTATTCATATATTTTCTTTTTATATCTTAAATAATTAATCGATTGATATTTGTTCTTTTAGAATATAATCGATTTCTTTTTCTTAATAATGAATACATCAAAAGTATGTTTGTATAATTCAAGTTCTTGTTATTTTATTGATATTAAAAATAATTGTTTATCGGATGATATGGTATTAGATTTAATTTTAAAATATGTTTTACCAACCTATTATGAATGGATGTGTATTGTACTTTATCTTATTGTTTTTATTGTTGGTACAGTTGGTAATCTACTTGTGATTATTGTCATACAACGTAATCGAAGCATGAGGTTGTATAAAAGAGATATATGTATTGTTTCTTATCTTTATAATCTTCATTTTTTAGGACAGTTACTAATATGTTTATTATGAATTTAGCTGCAGCTGATCTTTTAGTTCTTCTATTTTGTTTACCAGCTACAGTTATTCAAGATGTAACAAAAACATGGTTTTTTGGTTTAATTCTCTGCAAATTTGTTAATTATATACAGGTATTTTTTTCGTTTCTTATCAATGTATTTATATAAAGAATAGACAATATATAACTGAAAATAATTAGTTTTCTGATATTTACTTGAAAGAGAAGAAAAAAAAGATGTATAATTCTCGGAATTCTCATTCTTGTATAGTTTCTAACGATGTATTATCGGTATTATAATACATTGTAAAATTTTCATCACCACCCAGATTACCTTGAATTTCGATTACTGAATCCTGTCGTATATGATCGTTGATATCTTGTTGTGTGCGTCGTCGTCGTCTAGCGTCAGCATCAGGAGCAAGACTTTCTAAACGTTGTGCATGATGTTGTGGTAATGTTTCGAGTATAGCTTCAATTGTACGTGGTCGCTTAACAAAACGTTTTATACGTGTAATTATAACAACAAGAAGTAACATAAAAGCAACGAATGGTAATAAGACATAAATATGTTGATTATCAAATGTTCCGTCCGCTGCTTCTAGTTTACAGTCATGTGAAAGGGATACAACATGACAAAAACGACTTGAAACAATTAATTGTGCTGTTGTATTCATAAAAATAACGCATATTAAATAATTTCCTTCTTCTTCTAAATTCTTCATTTTCAATACACCATGATATTCTGTTTCATTAGTATTTGATGGTATAATTTCTAATGGTGTTCGTTCCTCATGATATTCTTCACCAACGAATGTTATTGAATAATAATAAGATTCAATATGTAATTCATTTAGCGCATAATCTAAGTTGGATATTATAAAAGTAAAAGTAGCTGTTAGACCTAATACTACTTCTTCACGAGAAAATTCAAGTTTATTTATATTTTGAATTTCTAAAACAGTTGCATTTGGTAACGTCGGATCCGGCACACATAATGCATATGGAATAATAAGAATCAATAATAAGACTAACATGTTTTTATGTTTTAAACAAAATAAAAAAAAAAGAAAATCTTTTATAGCTCATATGCTCTAATCATAAAATTCGTTTTATTATTCAAAGAAAGACAAAACATAAGTATATATATATATTTTTTGAATATTTAGAATATGTCGATTTCTGTGTCCGTATTAACATTAATGGCTATTTCAATTGAACGTTATCAAGCTATTGTTTATCCATTAAAATTTACTGGAACAAAACAACGTGCAAGAATTTTAATTATATCTATTTGGATACTTTCAATATTACTTGTTCTTCCAGGTTAAATAATGATTTTATGATTTCTTTTCTTTTCTTTTTTTATTCTGATAAGAAGAAGAGGAGAAAAATATAATTGGATTTTTATGATATATATATATAAATATAATTTACTTGAATCGATTTATTAAATGAAAATATTCGATTGATAAATAATCAATCCTATAGGACGATTGTTCTACTGTTAGTATATTATTTATTTACAACTGTATTACTATTGTAATACTATGAAAAGTCTAGCTAAAAATAGAATAAAACTATTTAATCGAATGTACAGATTATGACAAAATGTAATCGTTTTCTAATGTTTTTTCTTTTTCCAGATGCTGTTATGATGACACTCAGTCAACAATTTGGTGATCGAATACAAACAATATATTTAACATAGTAATGTATATTCAATGAAAATTTTATAAATTATATTTATTTTCATTTAGTTGTCAATGGCATTCTCATCCATTATTTGATCTTCTCTATCAATTACACATATCACTTTGTTTATTTATTATTCCACTTTGTCTAATGGTATATACATATACTGGTGTTGCACGTGTTCTTTGGGGTTCATTACCAAGTGAACGAGTAAATCATAATGAAAATTTTACAAGAAATTCCAATGTATTAACATATTCAGGTTAGAAAAAAGAATTTATATACTTAAAAAACTTCGTTTTTTTTTCGTAGATGATTCTCATACTAGTAGTGCAGTGAGTTCAACAAAATCATCGAATTTAATTGTTCAAGAAAATCGACAAAAAGCAGCAAAAATGCTTATATCTGTTGTAATTATTTTTGCTATTTGCTTTATTCCAGTACATGTTTTTAATTTATTCAGGTAAAGAAAAAAATTAAGAAATAATTTTTTGTTTTTTGGATAATTGATATAAAAATAATTTAGATATATTTATGTTTATTTGGAATATGTTAAACATCCAACAACAACTAACGATAGTCTCAATGAAAATTTCGGATGTTTTGAACCTACAACAGTTCATCTTGTTCGTACAGATACAATAAAAATTATTACAATTAGTGCGTTAATTTCTCATTTTCTTCCTTATTTCAATTCATCAATCAATCCAATTATATATAATATTATGAGTGGTAATCAAAAAAAAGAAAATGACGTCGATGTATTAAATTACTTGTTCTATATTTTAGATAAATTTCGTCTTAAATTTCGTGAGCTATTTACATCTTGCTGTTGGTGTTGTACTTGTTGTTGCTGTTGTTCTTCGAAAACAGTTGCAAGAATGAAATCAACATCATCAACAATGATACAATATAGAACATCAGGCACTATACATCATTCATCAAATTCAATCATCAATCGATCTTCTATGAAAAATAAACACATTAAAGATTCAACGAGTATATTCAATCATTTTGGTGGACATGATAAAATTAATACTACTAATAATAATAACAGTAATAATACAACAAAATATACTGGAATCAATAGTTACACCCACAATGGACCTATCTGTTTTCGATTGACTAATGTTTGACAGGATAAAACCTTTAAGAATACATTATAAGACAATCAAGAAATAAATAATAAAAGAAAAAAAATTAATGAGAAAGAAACAATTGTAATTATTCTGGTATCTTAAGATGCCAATAAACAGCATCCTACGCTGAGAAATACTTAACATTCTGTCTGCGTCTTTTTTAGGCAATAACGCCTACAGACACAGAGATGTCTCATTGACGAACATTCGCTTGTTTCATCTTATGCCATATATATGTGTATTATATATAAGCACAAGATCGATATATTAACATAATATTTACCTAATACCATATTTATTTGAATACATTCAAAAGATACTGATGAGTAATATGATCTATATAACGTGTGTTTACACATTACTTTTATCCTTTTATTGCATAACAGTTCATTGTCGTTCAGTGAGTTCAGATTTTGATGGGTAAGTTAATTGAATTTCTTTCTTGCTTGTTTTATATATTGAATAATATTTATATATAATATGAATAGTTCAAAGGAGGCAGGTTATCATCCATTTCCTGAAATGAGTCGATTTCTTAATTCTAATTCTCGCGTACATCGACCATCAAGTCGACCAACATATTCATTTCTTGGTTATCTTTGTAGGTAAGGATATGATTGTATTAAATTAAAAACAAAAAAAGATTTGAATTTTATTTTTAAACGTTTTGTTTTAGTATTGCTGATGATGAAGAACAATTAGGTCAATTTCTAGTTACTTTCGGTAAGCAATATGGACGACTGATTAAAAAAATAATCAAAACTGATTGTCCCGATTATAATGAAAAACATAAACGAACAATGCTCAAGATTAGACCAAAGAATTTCTCACGAATGGTTTTACGTAATATCATTGATCCTTATTTTGATTTTTAATATCTGATGCATATAAAAGATAATTTCTAGGAAAAATTTTCACTTTTTTCTTTTTAAATTTTATATGCTGATTGTCAGATAAATTTTGAATTGAAAATAAATAATTCATGTATACTTAAAATTTCTTGTTAATAACTATTCTTTGTTTGTATATAAATATGACAATATTTATCCATCTGGAAAACGTCAAGAAAATGTATCTACCACTAAATTATAATTTTCTTGTTCTCTTAGACCTCGAGTATCCAAAGAAAATCAGCATATTACTTTCATGATTGTATTATTTTCAAAAATTTGCATAACACTACTTACATAAATTGATTGTGCATGACAAATAGATGCTTTTATCTCAATTGAATTAGGGATAATAACAGCAAGTGTAAAACGACGAACAAAGAAATATGCAGATTATCCAAATGTAGAGATACGGTTTATAATTCAATGTAATATAGACAAGATAAATAAATCATTTGTATGGTGATATTAATAACGAATAGTAATGTATAGAAAAATGTCTTCATTCCGACTTGATTGAAACTAGCTGAATTTAATTCAAAAACTTTTTTCTATGTACGTCAATGTAATATCATACATAAAATTTCTTTTTATTATTCTCTTCGATAACAACTAAAAACTATGTACAGAATTTTCTTATTTGACAATAGACAACACTTCTTTTATCATGTCAATCTTAATACTTTATAGTAACATTTACTTATATGATTGTGTCAGAGAGTAAATTTCAAATAAAATCAGCTAAATAAATCGAGTCGAAACGGAGATTTTTAATTTTTGTATTAAGGTGTTATTTTTAGACCACCTCATATATCTCGTGAATTTACTTATTAGGGTGTGGGTGTGTGTCGGTCCTCTATCAATCCACATTCATACTAACACCCACGCACCACACCCATACCCACGCTCTTTATAATCGCCATTTTTTCCACTAGATAAAATTATAGGTCAAAGATACTATCGGAAAACTGAAGTCCAGTAATAAACAAACATCAATAGGAGTTAATCACTGCTACTGTCCCTTATACTAATAAGAAAAATACTGGAAAGGATACTTGGACACATCTATAAAAACATGTCAAGTTTTGTTATGATCGAGACGTATATGAAATTCAATTTTATCAATATCTTTCAGTAAACTTAGTATAAACAATTGATTTAGCGATACGCCATCTGGAGAACAACTTTTGTTTATTCAATAATGTTCGTTGCATTTTTTTGTCTTATTGATAAGTTAATAGTAACTTGAAAGTATTATTATTACTTTTATATGTTCAATAAAAAGGTTTCAATTTATTTTTCATTGAATAATTCTTATGTTAGATCTATAGTATGCCAACAAAGATAAATGTTTTATTTCATTTCAAAACGATGTCATATAAGTTCTTCTAATACGCATAACTACACAGAGATACAAACGAATTATACATAAACACAAGAACAAAAAGAAAAACAATCTAATTTCATTCAATATATTTCTTATTTTAGTTTCTACGGTACAACAAAAAGAAAATGAGAGAAGATTTTTGAATGAACACATAGTGTATACATCAGAAAATCATCCTGAGACAAATACTAATTATAATATAAAGGATAAATGAATAATCGACCATAAGACAGAAAACAAAAAAAAAAGAACAATACATTTTTTATTTTTATACATATCTATTCAATTATTTTATTTTTCTAAGCACGTTCGCCACGAATTCGTCGAGCTAATTGAATATCCTTTGGCATAATCTAAATAATAAAAATTATTTTTTCCATTAATACGTTTAAAATAAAACTTACTGTAACACGTTTAGCATGGATAGCACATAAATTTGTATCTTCAAAAAGTGATACTAAATAAGCTTCACTTGCTTCTTGAAGTGCTCCAATAGCAGCCGATTGAAAACGTAAATCAGTTTTAAAATCTTGTGCAATTTCACGAACAAGTCGTTGAAATGGTAATTTACGAATTAATAATTCAGTTGATTTTTGATAACGACGAATTTCACGTAATGCGACAGTACCAGGACGAAAACGATGTGGTTTCTTAATTCCACCTGTTGATGGAGCTGATTTACGTGCTGCCTTTGTAGCTAATTGTTTTCTTGGTGCTTTTCCACCAGTAGATTTACGAGCAGTTTGTTTTGTTCGAGCCATTTAATCTAAATAGAAAGTTTTTTTAGAAAAATAACGCAAAAAATTATTAACTAACTTTGAATACTTGTGTATTAGAAAAAAAGAAGATATATTCTAGAAACAAAAATATATATTGACAAGGTTAAAAGTACACAAAAAAGAAATCGTGATTTTTCATAAGAACAAATAGGTACACAAATGGCAATGAAAGTTAATAGAGACGAGAAAGAAAAGGAATGACAATCTGCACATACGTGTTAAAAATAGTCCCGAGTTTATTGATTGGTTTTAATAATTAACCAATCGAATGAATCAATTTTTTTGGTTGAAAAATAATTTTACGTATAATATATCAATCTCATTATAATAATAATGAGTAGTCAAGCATCAAAATATACACCACGAAATATAACTATTAAAAAATCTAATGATGGTTTTGGTTTTAATGTACGTGGACAAGTTGTTGAAGGTGGTCAAATAAGAGCTATTCACGGAACACTCTATGGACCATTACAACATGTATCAGCGGTATCAAATCATAGTTCAGCTGAACAAGCTGGACTTTGTATTGGAGATAAAATTCTCAAAGTGTATGTACCAAAGTGATTCTTTCGAAATATATATATATATATTTTTAAAGGAATGGTATTGATGTTGAAGGTGCATCACATAAACAAGTTGTTGATTTAATTAAACATAGTACCGATGAACTTAATCTTGTTGGTAAATAGAAAAATAAAATTTAGTTTAAATAAAAATAGTCTTGTTTTTTTTCTCTTCAAGTTATTGCTTCAACTGGTGAAGATAGACGTATTAATATGTATTCAGGTGAAGACTCAAGTGGAAGTTCAAATGATTATACAGAACGACGTTCATTAGCAATTACAATACCAGATTATAGTTTAATAGAAATTCACGGTGAAAAATTTTATGTAAGTTACAAAATATTAGATTTTTACTTATCTTAACATTACTTTTTAGGTATTCAATGTCTATATTGCTGGTAAGTTTTATTTCCTTATCAAAAACTTTTTTATTAATAAATTCTATATATCAGGTCGTCATCTATGTTCGAGACGTTATCGTGAATTTGATTCATTACATCAACTTTTAAAACAAGAATATCCAGATTTTCCATTTAGTCCTCTACCAAAAAAATGGCCATTTAAATTATCTGATCAACAATTAGATACCCGACGACGTGGTCTTGAACAATACATTGAAAAAAGTAAATAAATAAATAAAATTCACATTATTTTTTACTAAAATTAATATTAGTTTGTTCGGTTCGTGTTGTTGGTGATAGTGATTTAGTACAAGAATTTTTATCAGCTGATCTTTATGAAGTAAGAATACACGAAGATTTACTTGATTAAAATGAATATTTATTTTAGCGTGATTCAGTTTCAATTGATGTTGAACTTAAAATAATGTTACCTGATCGATCAATAACTATTTTAAAAATCAAACGTTTTTCTAATGCTGATAAAGTTTATCAAGTAAAACAAAAGAATTCTAACCGATATTCATATAAATTATTATTTTAGGCTGTTGCAGAAAAAATTGATTTACCCAAAGAATGTATACCGTATTTTTATCTATTTGAAATTCTTGATTATAACTTTGGTAAATAATTATTTTTTGTTGAAAATAATATTTTCTTTTACGATTTTAGAACGAAAACTTCATTCAAATGAATATCCACATCAAATTTATGTTTACAATTGTTGTACAGCTAATACGACTTGTTTATGTTTGCGTAAATTTATTTTTTCACCAATTGTAGAAAATCAACTTTTAAAATATCCATTAGCACGAAATTATTTATATCGAGAGGTAATTATATACGTACTCTTATCTTATCATATGACTCATTTATTATTGACTGTTCGTTGGTTAACCTTGAATTTTCTTTTAGGCAGTTGATCAATTAAGTCATTCCGAAAATTCAACAATCGATCAACGATCAACATTGAAATCATTCAATGAAATCGAATATATAAAATATGCTCAAACATTAACTGATATTTATAATACAATAACATTCCCTCCATGTCCATGTAGTTCACGTAAAGATAATGGTTGTATTATATTATCTTTAAATTCTACACGTCTTCGTTTACATGCTTGTTCAAATGACGGACAATTAGATTCAGATCATATAGCAAATTTTGATTGGACAAATATTGAACAATATTATATTTCAGGAGAATATTTTATATTTGAATATAAACGTTCAACAATGAATACAACTAAAGCAATTAAATTACAAACACCATTTGCACAATTTATGTATGATTGTTTCGAATGTATTCTTCGGGAATTACAGACAACTATTAAACAAATCGAACAACATGAATAAAAATAAACAATATTTTTCTCATACAGAAATCTCTTTTTAATAAGTAGTGCAATAGAGATCTGACGAAATATATATATATTTATATATATTGCATTTGTTTTATATAGTCATTCGTTCATTCCGGTTTATCTATTTGCACATGATAATTTTAATAGAACAAAGCAATCTTTTCGATTCAATAATATAAGTATTGTACACAATCAGTATTCTTCTTTTTATTTTTTATCATTAGAGACTTATCATTCTTTCTTCTTTTTTTGTTGTATATTTACACAACGAATAAGATAAGAATCAACTTCTATGTGTGTCTGTGTGTTTATAACGACTAATATATTTATTCATTGTATATGCGCATTTAGTTATATACATCGATATTTTTTTGTTTTTTTTTTGTTTTGTCTCTTTTATTTTATCCTAATAAAATAATTTAAATATAGAATCAATTTTCTCAAAGTAAGTCAGTTGAATTATCATCGATATATGGAATCAAAACAATATCACGTAGTTGAATATAGTTCTCAGTCAACTCTATGAACTTTCTATACGATATCCTTTCCTTATTTCCAGATGCATTTTTCCATTCCAGACACAACTGAAATATCTGCTAAAAATAGCAATAATCAACAATCCTATACTTTATTTAATATCCATATTAATGGTGTTCATCACTGTAGTGTACGTTATTCACAATTACGTACATTTAATGAAGAACTTCAACGTTTATTACCATCTGCAATGGCAAATATTGAAATATTTCCTCCTAAAAAATTTTTTAGTTTATCACCTAAAGAAACTGAAGATAGACGTGTTCTTCTCGAACATTATATACAATCGATAGTACAAAATAAATTTATTATAACATCATCTTATTTTAAAGAATTTTTTCTCAATGCTCAACGTGAAACATTTACAACTGAATCATTTGATAATAATGATAAAATTAATTTAACAATATGTTTATTAAATAATCATGAATTAATTATTGAAAATCTTTCACCTAATGATAATACATCACGTTTACTTGATGCATGTGCACTTAAACTTCAAGTTCAACAAGATTTTTTAACTTATTTTAGTTTATATCTTTACGAACAAAAAGATAATCAATTAAATATTATTCGACCATTATATGAATTTGAATCACCATATTTATCATTAAAACAGTTGAAAAAAACTTATCAACAATCATGTATTGTTTTAAAAAAATCTTATTGGGATTTAGATTTTGATTTAAAATTACTTGATGATCGTCGTGCACGTAATCTTTTATTTGTTCAAGCTCAATATGAAATTGAACAAAGTCAAGATTTATATCCAAGTGATATTTATCGACAATTAGATATTTTACGTGAAAATAAATCATTTAAAGATTATATATTATTAGCACGTACATCGAAATTCTATGGACATATTATTCTTCAAAAATGTTCACTTCTCTATCCAATAAATGAAACAACAAAACAAAAATTATGTCAATGTTTATTAGCGATTGGAAATAATGAACTATTATGTTGTTTTAATTTAGACGAGAAAAAGAAAGCAAAAGAAGTATCATTGAAAGTAACACGTATTCGTTGTTGGAAAGTTAATTGGACGAAACAAAATGTAGATATTTCAGTAGAATATTTAATTCAAAAAGGTACTTTAATATGGATTACAATACATACAGAACAAGCAGCATTGATTAGTAGTTGTTTACAAAGTATGGTAGATGAAATCATAGCTAAAAGAATAGATACAACTAGTCCAGTAACAACTTCAAATGAATCAACAACTGAACGAGCTCTACCAAAAACAGCTAATGGACTTGCAACAAGAACAGAAGCAGATTTAGAACGATTGAATAATAATGATATATTTGATAGGAATGATGATGATGATTTATAGAATCAAAAACATATGGTTACTATTTTTATTGTGCAATTTTTTTTAACCATTCCATTTGTTATCGACGATTAAATAATATTTATTGAACTGTTCTTCCTAGTCATAAATTGCTTTTTTTTTGACTTTAATTGATTAAATTTTATTATTTTTTTTTTCACTAATATAAATAATATTAATAAGAAATTTTCTCTTCTTCTCAAATGTGTATGTAATTTATTTTTTGTTCGATTGTAAAAAACGATAGTTCATGATTTTGTGGAAGAATTGAAAAAAAATTGTAGATTAAAAATCTTAATTTCGAATTCATACTTTTTGGTTTGAAATGTACAAGAAAACATTCTCAAGCGTTCAATTCCATGTTTGGTCTATTCATAGACCTTAGTAAAATTACGAAACCCAGCAAATAATTTATACTGACGATCTCTTGATCAAAAATTATGATCGTTTTTTCAAGATATAGAGGATTCATATAATTTAGAAATCGAACTTCATGAAATATCAAAAAAAGTATTTTAACTTGAGCTTTTCCAATATTAGTAGAGTAGAATTCAAACGAGGATTTTATAATCCTATCTTTCTAGTAAAGATCTATAGGCAGCTCCAAAATTTAGTAAGATGATCATAGTTATTGATCAACAGGTGAGAAACACGAATATTTTCAGGATTTTCTTCATCTCATTGAATTCTACTCATAGATCAAATATAATGTTGAATAGAATAGAATATTTACAAATATTATCTAAATGGTCGTGATATATGTAGTCCCCTTGTCGTTTGTTTACCTATTTCTCACTCCCTCCTTTTCTGCATAAAACGATTGACTATATATCTTCTTATCGAGAAACGCATCAATTTCATACAAAGCATACACTTTTATACTAGCCTGCCAGCGAAAAAGAAAAAACAATAAGCGCGAAATGAGATGGGAGCAAAGTATCACATGATATATAAAATAGGAGCAATACTCAAAAGGAGAAGGAATCATAAGAACGAGATAAACATCGTTACACGCATTTCGTACAAACAAAAAAATATTCCAATCACAACCACAGTATCTTTTCAAAGAACGACTTTTAAAACCAAGGAATCTGAGTTTGTGTTATTTTTTTGATTAATGGAGATCTATTTCGAAATATTTATTCAGTTATAGAAAGTTTAAATAATGTAAAGAAAAAAATGACGTCAAATAAGAAATTATTCTTGTCCAGTATAATTTATAATGTTGTAATTTTAAGAATGATGAGTTTTATTCTGATAATATCTTTTTACATTAAAAAAGGTTCTAAAGAATATGAGAGAATCGATAAAACATTTTCATATTATCTGTTATTGATTCTTTATGCTTTAAAATTTCGTATATTTTGATTTTTATTCTCGAACACAATATTAAAATCTCTAAATATTGAAATGCGATGAACATTATTTGTCTCAGTTGATTAAAGAAATTTATTTTGATTTTAACAAGATCATCTATTCCTTTAACTAAACACTTCTGTATTCAAGCCAGATTAAGGTCTACCATCATATATTCAACAGACAATGATTCATTATATAAGCTACACATTGGCTGACACCATTTGAGACGAAAACATTTAAGTTTTATTTATTTCACTGATTTCAACTTTAGTATCGATTTTTCAAGCTGTTAGACAATAGTGTAATACCTTTTAAAAATATTCATAAATACACAATTTCTTAGTGTACTTTTGCTACGACATTTTTAGTAATGATAGTGTTTTTCCAATTGACTCATACGGTTAAAGAAAAAACCGTTCTCGATTTGCATAGCATTTTTTTACGTAACAAGTGCAGCACATAAAACAGAACGACAAAAAGAAATAACCTTCCTCAGGTATTTTCCACGCCGTCAATAAAAGATCAAAAGTATGACAAAATCATACGTCATACATGACGATAGGTAAACATAGAACGCCCTCGAATAAACATATAGACTAATATATAGGTTCACATGAATATGTATTTTCATTATTATTTTACATGAACTAATTACTCTGTCCCACAATTATTCAACACAACTTTGAACAACTTCAATAATAAATATGTGACTATACATATATAGTATTTCTGACGACTAATTCATTCAAAATATATTTTGGTAAGTATAGTTTTAACTTTACTCAAAGGAATTTATTTATAAGCTTCTTACAGTTTGGTTTCGAGACTTACGAAAATTTCTCGAACAACGTTAGAACAAATTATGGAACACTTTTTGTTAAGAAAAAACAAAAGATTTTCTCTCAATTATTTTTTGTCGTATTCACTAAGTTTTAATACTGAATATTGCAAAAAATTACAGCAATAATATGTAGTTATTACAATTACTTCATTACGAATAGTATAGTACAGAGTGAAAGGTGAATAACTTTGAAAAGATGAAACCTCACTTAAATATATTTGAACAAACTATTTCTTTTAATTTTATACTGTAATATTTCGTTCGTACGTAAATTTATTACATTAAAATGCATGTTCTCTTTCCAAGGTGTCATTTATACTTACGTCAGAATATGTGGTAAAAAAGAAAAAATACCTCTGTACTAAGAGGAAGACAGAATGCAGAACGGAAAAAATGATTTGTCTAATATATCAGACACAATATTTCAAATAAACTATAACTGAATACTTTACAGAGCATAATATATAAAACTATTCAGCATCGTTCTCCTTTACATCCTCGTTACGAGCAATTAATAATATAGATTAATACAAAATAATACTAGTAATCATCGTAAAGTTTATAATAATCTTATTTTTTTAAATTTTAATAGAAACAACAAGATTAATTTAGAAAAGAAAAAAAACAAACTAAATGATGAAAAACATAATTATACAGGTAGTGCACCTTTCACATTACTTTCGTATCCAATCAATAAAATACATTCATTATGCGAGAATCTAATTCAAATCGATACTTATAAAGGATTGCTAGTTAAATATTATAATTGAAATGATACTTTTTTTCTACTATAATAAAAATTTCTTCAGAATTTCATAAAACCTAATCGAATCTAAACTATAATCAAATCTTTACAAGATTCATAATGAATATTTAACACTTAGATATTCAACATTAACTCTCTTATTTAGAAAAATAATAGATAATCCACTTGTGTAGTTTTTGTTATTCTTGAATTATTTACAAATATTATTATGTTTAGGAGCTTTTTCATTCTTTTCAGAAATATTGAAATAAATATATTCCTGTAAGAATATCATATCACAATCCGAACATTTGGCGTTTCTTCTGAGAAAAAAAGATATGTTCCATTTATATAAAGATTAATATTGATCGAATCATTGACTATCTTAATCATATACTGTGCAAAAAATAAATGGAAATTATATGTTTAATTTGACAATGAATTCTTCTTATAAGTTATTAAAAAATTGATACTTTCAAGTGAATATCTTTATTATAATGTATAATCAAAATTACAATATCATTTTTATGAGTAATTCATTGACATTTATGACAAATTTATATTAACATGGTTATGGTTGTCTCTTGATCAATTTCGAGTTATCAGTGAATATGTATTCTATGATGAAATATATATGGTATCTTTTATCTTATTTGACAAGTGATTTATTTTATATTAAGATCTACTGATTAATGACATACTACAGTGAGAATTCATTGGTTTGATTATATTCTGATCGAATTTTATTGGATCTCTATTATAGACGATTAGTGATATTCATATTGTATAAGAAGTTCGATTCATTTTATGCATCTACAGATAGAATATCATAGCTTCTACAATCTGCTGGAAATAATTGATGGAGAAATATTACAATGATTATGCGATATTTAAAATGTGACTAATGTATTACTTAATTTAGTATATGTAACGAACAAGTTATAGTGAATGATAACAAAAAATAGAAGGAATTACAAGATAATCCAATTTTTAAACAAAAAACTTTCGAAATTGAAATTATTTCAAAGTAAATGTTATCACCGTAGCTATTCGTTTGCAATGGCGTCGGTTACTATCTTTCTCAATTATCTACATACTAAATTCTTTGTGCATTACTTGTTCGAAAAATATTAGATCGTATAAACTTAATATAGAAAAATGATTTTGAAAAAATTTATATGTTGTTGTAAAGCAATTTAGCTGTGAAAATGATGAAATGATATTATTTCTTCTAGAAAAGCCAATAAAAAAACTTAGACAATACATTCAAATGATCTAATGATAGTCTGATTGGATAGTTTAGATATTGCAAGTGAAATAGAATCAGTTCAATTAAGTGATTCTATTGAATTCATACCTAGTCTAAAGTTCGATACTTTTTTTATTATTTTTGTGTGACTCTGTGTTTCTTATCATAAGTATTTTCGACATCGAACAAAACTTTCGAAAGATAGAAAGCATCACCGGTAGCTCATAATATTAATCATGTTCTTGATGTTGAACACATCGTTTAACTATTACAATCATAATAATCATTCGAATTTAAATATTAATGAATTTGTCCATATTATAACGAAACAAGTTTATGTATTTATACTTCAGAGATAACTAGTTAATCTATATATACTAATATTAATATTTGCTATGACGATAATCATTATATTGTCATGTCACTGATTTAAATAAGTGAAGAACGTGATATATTCCAGTTTTAGTAGTCATACGAATAATATTGCAGCATGAGTAACATGTCCATTTCCAATTTAATCAAATTTATTATGAGTCATGCATTATTCACCGCTTAATGATGTCATACCAATCAACAATGAATCATTGTTATATCATGATGTTGGATTTATCAAAGTTTTTTTAATATTATATATATCTCTTTGAAATTAATGTTACCAATACATTTCGTCCTTTATATTTTGTACCTTACTATTCGTCCTTTTTCAGTTGTTCCTAGACGCATTTTATCTTGAGGGTGGGTGTGGGTGTGAGTTAGGTCGATATATTACCATTACACCATAACTCATATCCTCATCCACACCCAGCCAC